AAACATTTTTTTTTTTTTTTTTTTTTAGTTAGAAAGAACAACTGATTTGGATGGTTGACTTGATGAAGGCTAGCTTTGTCCTTAGGTTATGTGGCAGGCACTTCCCTAAGTCAAATCACCTCCATAAATTTACAGCTTCAAAGTTTTGATGAAAATTTATAGTATATACTATGCTGAAGAGCACAGCTACTTAACTCATGATGAAAACTTTAGAAGTGAATGTTTGGACCCTTGCGTAGAGGCACTGGGAATGCAACATCTACAAATGCAGGTTGTACACGGGTGTTTATTTGGGACTCAAATACCAGCAGTAGGATTGTCATTGGTGATTTTCTGATATGATGATTACCCTTGAGAAGGTTCTGAACAAGCTGGACGTACACAGAAGTTACACCCGTGAGAACTTTAACGCATATCGAGACATTGTATTTATGTGTAAAATAGAGTCCGATGGATTCAGATAATTATTAATACGATTTTTAAATTCATGACTGTGCAGGGTGCGTCTGAAAATCCTCTGGGACACAGAACAATTTGTCAACGCAAGTTGCTAAATTTGGAGGCAATTTGTTTGGCAGCAATAAGAACCAAAACACATGCCATGAGAGGATCCCAAAGCACAAGTTTATCAAATAATCAAATGCTTCTGGATGCCTTTTACCAGGTGGGTAAAAGCAAAGCTTGGGGAGGTTAAGGAACCGGCTCATGCCACCCAGCAAACAATCCGCAGAGCCAGGTTTGAGCTCAGCACCCCCACCCCCGAACGGGCTCCCCAGGGGCACTTGGCAAACCCTAACGTGCACATGGCTCACCTGGGGACCCAGTTCGCCTGCAGATTCAGATTCCATAGGCCTGGGTGGGGCCTGAGATTCTGCATTTCTAACCACCTTCCAGTCTGAGGTTTATATTCCTACTTATTAGGGGGAAATCTGTTCCCAGCACAAACTGGGTCCCCTTCCAGTTGTAAAACCCACTTCATTTATTTTGTCCAGTGTTACTTAGAGATAACTGACATCCAACACGTACACCGCCAGGCTTTGATACATGCACATGTTGGGCAACGAGAGCTGTAGTCAGGTCAGTTAACACCTCCATCGCCTTACAGTTACCTTCTTTCCCTTTTTGGTGGTGTGAACATTTCAGATCCACTCTCTTAGCAACTTTCAAGTATACAATACAGTATTATTAGCTATAGTTATTCATCCTCTAACTGGAAGTTTGTAACTTTAACCATATCTTCTGCCCCCCCCCCAGCCACCACCATTCTGCTTTCTGGTTCTGTGAGTTGAGTAAAACTCACTTCCGATACTGGGGAGTCCTGGCACCGAGGAAGACACTGTTCTCACACATCTCACGCGTCTCACCGCAAACAGAGCTGCTGCAGTCGGACCCGGGGTCTCCAATCAAGCCTAACATGCAGGCGCAGTGAGCGCTCCCTGAGATTGGAAGGGAGGGCACTTTGTCAGTAATAATAAGTTGTTGACAGACGGACGCTGCGCAGGGCACGCCTGATGGGAACCACATGTGTTCTCAGGGACTGTCTCCAAAGTGCCCATGCCATTCATGGGTCTGCCGCTCCTGAAGGCCCGGGGACCGTTTCCTGTGGGCTGGTGGGACTTGCTGTGTCGTGCCAGGCAGGCCAGAGAAAGCTTCGCGCTGAGACAGGGCGCCTTCCCGTGGCCCTCTCAACGGTGCCATGCCACGTCCCCTGCAGGCGGGGGACTGCGGGAGAGGAAATGACTCGAATGGGAGGCTGGCCCAACCCTGTTCCTGACAAAGGCCGACTCGGAGGTGAGCTGGTCAAGAGAAATCCTGATGTAGAGAAATCAGAGCCTCCGTTCATGGCCGGAGGGGTGTGAAATGGTGCAGCCACTTCGGGGAACAGCCTGGAAATTCCTTCACAAGTTAAACATCTGACTCAGCAATTCCAACCCTGGGTAGGTACCCGAGAGAAATGAAACCAGGTGTTCAAACAAAAACTTGTACAGGGATGTCCACAGCAGCATTATTTACAGTAGGCACAAGGTGGAGACAACCCCAATGTCCATCAACAGGCGAATGGATAAACCAAATGTGGTCTATACATACAATGGAATGTTATTCAGTTTTTAAAAAAATGAAGTACTAACACATGCTACAATGTGGCTGAACCTCAAAAACATTATGTTCAGTAAAAAAAAAAAAAAAAA